GTCTCCTGGCTGGCTCCATCTCCTGAATCAGTGCCGCTGCTTTGGACATTTCCATGTCCTGTTTTCTTCCTTCTTTGATTCCACATCCTCTCTTTCCCACTTGACTAAAACTTCCAGGCCAGGCCCCAGTCATCTTGCTGCTGCTCAGCCAAAGAATGTTTCCATCAGCCTGGCCCTGCTGTGCTCACCCCTCTGTGTGACCACAGCAGTGTCCCGGGCTTGAACACAGACCCGAGAGCCGGACATCTGTGTGAATGTGGCAAGTCCCTGAACCGTTCTGCACCCTAGTGTTCTCTGTGATACAGGGAGAACAGTACTGACCTAAGCGCCAGGTGCAGGCTAGAAGCGACTGATGGCATCGTGGTCTCTGCTTACTTCTCATGACACTCCTCAGCCCTTTCTGCGGTTTCCTTTCCCAGCTCCACGCCCCTTCCCTGGGGTGGCTTTATCTGCCCCTGGATGACGCCGCACATCTGCAGGTTGCCTTCCCTGTCCTAGCCTGCACCCAGGCCGGGGCCTCCCATGCCGCCGTGTGCCTGCGCCGCAGCACTTCAGACATAATGTGGACAACCTCAACTTTGATTTACACCTCTCCTCAGAGCCCCTCTGGGAGAAGGGGCCCCCTGCCTGGCAGACCAGGGCTCGCACCTAACCCTTTCTTTCCCCCTTCTCTCCCCTCCACACCCAGTCACAGTGGGCCTGGGTTTCCCACCTGATACTTTGCACCTCCAGGCTGTCAGCCTCCTTTCCCCACCAGACTGTACCTCCTCTGGGTCCTCAGCTAAGACCTCCTCTGGCTTCTTAAGCATTCGCGCCCCCGGGCTCTGGCCTGGGCTCTTCACTTGCCCTGCCCCCTCCAGGCACCCCAGTTGGGTGACTTTAGTTGCCTCTGTGTTGGTGGCTCACGCAGCTTTAAACCTGCTCCTGAGTCCAACTCATCTGCCATCCCACTGCCTGCCAGGCGTCTCCACCACGCGCCCCGAGACTTCGGCACACCCCATCCTCCTTGCTTCGGCTCTCATCCTCCTGTCTGGGTTGGCGCCAGCATCACTGCTCTGAGACACCGGGGTCCTCCTCAGCCTCCTCGCCCACCCGTCACCAGTCAGGGTACGGTTCTGCTCTACTCACAGACCTTCTCCCTGTCACTGTCCTGCTTCCGACTAGGTTATTCCAGGATTTCCCTTTCTCTTCCCTCCAGTCACCCACCACATTTCTTTCTAGCCACTCATATCTAAACTCTGCGAGTTCTGTATCTCTTGCCGGCAGCCTGACAAGCTCTGCCCTTCTGGGCAGTGTTCTTGTATATGAAATTACACTGTAAGAGTTTAACATAAAGTTAACACAGTGATTGGATGGCTGGATTGATATCCTCAGCTCAGTATTCATTTCCTTTGTCCCCTCTCCTTTGTCCTGTTTCTTCTTTTCTCGTGTGTGTGTATTAACTGAATATTTTTCAGAAATTTTTTTCACCATTTCTCACTCTTTGCACTATGATTTTAGTGACTACTCTAGGGCACAATATACATCCTTCACTTCTCAGCCAGCCTGGAGTGACCACTGTGCTACTTGACACAGAAGCAAGAAACTCACCCTATGCCTTCTAGAATGTGTCTTCCACACACCTCACTCCCTTGGTAAATGTTCCTGGTCACCTCATTGCTCATGGCCTCTGTCCACCCTGCTATTACTCAGTAATGTGAAGTCTGCTTGGTCTTTCTTCATGCTGTCCCCTGTGCTCTGGGACCTAAGTGGACCCTGGGACATGCCACAGCCTGTTCCCTTCTCTCCATGCCACAGCCCAGGTATTCTGCTGCTTCAGACACTCCCATGTTGACAGCTTTGTATATTGCCCTGTCAGCTGTGAGCTCCTTGAGGTCAAGAATCGCCTGTGACTGTCCCCAGCAGTCAACCAGACATATGGCTTCCAGGGTGACTGCCCATCCCCCCACAGCTGGACTGCAGCCACCTGATATATGCACCGGGGACAGATAAGATCACTGATAAACTCTGACCTAAGGATGTAACACACCATCTGCTCCGCGGACATTTCTGCATATGACCCAAAGTCCTTTGTCCTCCCCAGGGAGATGTGTCATTCAAGGATGTGGTGGTAGACTTCACTCAGGAAGAGTGGCACAGGCTGAACCCTGCCCAGCGGGCCCTGTACCGGGATGTGATGCTGGAAACCTACAGCAACCTCGTCTCTGTGGGTAAGAACCCAGCAGGCTCCCTGAGCTGACCGTGTTGCCTCTGCCTCTGTAACTGACACATTCCTGCTCCTCTTGAACTATCAACTCATGTAATCCCTAAGCGCCTTGTCAGGGGGATACCACCAGTACCACCGTTTCACACATCTGGGCGCCTAGCGGGGCGGCCTGTGTCACCCAACTACTGCGCAGTGCCGGGCCAGGACTTGAGCGCCTACTGCGCTTGGCGCTTCCTGCCGTGTGGCGAGTCCCCACTCGAGTTGCAGGGCCCCGAGTCGCTCATCCCATCCCGGTTGTGGACCAGGTGTAGGCACGGCCCCCTGCCAAGTACAGTGTCCGAGGCGCAGCCTTGGCTGACCGGCCACCCTGCAGACCTGTTGCTCAGCCTGGGCTCGGTTGTCTCCCGGGAACAGGTTACGAAGGCACCAAACCCTACGTGATTCTCAGACTGGAGCAGGAGGAGGCGCCGTGGATTTGCGAGGCGGCGTGCTCAGGCTGCCACTGCCCAGGTAAGTGACCTGTCACGGAAGGCACATCAGGGACCTGCACGAGGGAGGCTGGTGCTGCTGAAACTTGTCTGTGTCCTGCCCTTGTAGTCTTTAGAGCTTGGCAAGCAGCTGGCAACATTTCTCTGCGAGCTTTAGCCTTCCTGATGACCCCTCAGCCTCCATTAGAGACTCCACCTCTCTAATCTTGGGATTCCTCTATTCCTTCTGTTTTAAATCTCACCCCTCTACGTCATTAAGTTCATCTCCCTCTCTCCAGAATCTTCGGGCTCTCAAGGTTAACAGCATACCTCCCTCTTCTCACTCAGCATTCTTACAGGCGAGCTGCCAGGCTTCTCCAGTCTCTGCTCATCTTTATTCTAACACTTCCCGAGTGAAGGCCCCAGTCCCACCTGCCATTGCTCAGGCTCACTGCCCCTCCTCTCCTCAATCCCTTGTCATCCGGTAGCCCCTTGATTCCCTTATGTCACATGGAGGAAGCAGTGAACTCCATGTGGGGTGGAACAGAGTTGGGTGCTTAAGGAGACGGCAGAACTTGGCTGTTCTGACTCACTTCTATTTAATAATTACAATAGCTGGCCCACTCCGATCAGCTCTGTAAAGTGTCTGTGGTGCTCACTGTCAGACACAGCTCTGAACATTTGCTTCTTCCCATGAGTCCTGGGCTTAGCAAGAGGAGTCAGCATTCTCTTAATGGTCTGCCATCACACAGCTGTTAGATTCTCTGTAACTCCCCAAACATTCAAGTAATTTTAGTACGTCTCGCTAGAATGATGTCTTTGAGATCACCACCATCCAGCTTGTAGTAATTTTAGTAACAGCAGTACAGCAGGGGCTGACAACCTCCCACAATACTGGCTGACAAGACCCTCCAAACGTGAGGGTCTACTCTCAGACAGTGACTAATCCATACCTCAGCACTCAACTTTGAGAATACCTGTGAGGCATCCAGACCTGCCCGGTTTACCAACGAGGGAACAGGTACAAACAAGGTTAAGAAAGCTGCCTCAGAATCTATGGCAGAGTGGGGGACTGAACAGGGATGTGACCCCAGGCTCTCAGGCTCCGGACCCAGTATTTTTAACTCTCACACGCTGTTCTCTGGGATGTATTTCGCTTCATTAAACTGTGCTCATCAACCTACCCAAAGCATTTAACTGGCCTATCAGCTGCTTCTCTTTTCCCTCTTTCAAGAAATAGCTGTTGCCTCTTCTCTGCAGAGCCCTGCCTTTCCCACCAAGGGGCCACTGCATTTTCTGCTTCCCATGCCTGTCTGTCTTCTGTTTACTTCTCTCATGGAAGTAATCCATTCTGAGGCGGCATGATGCTCACAGCTGGCGCCTTTGCCCCATGGGGCTCTTTCATACCTCCTGGACCACTAACCCCCTATTTCACCAGTCTATGGATTTCTCCACAGCAGGGTCCACTCAGTCCTGTTTTTTTGCATGACAAAGCCTGAAGTAACCCTCATCTCCACTTGCTGCACCCCCTCGCACACATACTTAAGTGCAGGTGTGCCTGCACACACACACCATGTCCTCATGCCACAGTTTGCTGCCATGTGGATTTTTTTATATCATCTGTCTCTCCCACCCTCTTTCTGTTCTATCCATGATGATGGTTTCACTGTTGGCTTTTTGTTTGAGAACTAACTTTAAACCTTCTTCCCTAATTTTAATTTTTCATGACAACTCTTAAAATTAGACCTAAATTACCTCATGCCTGGATGTGTTTAAATCAGGCATGCTCTTAATCATCCCTGGACTTTGGAACTCAGCAGGCATCCTAGGTAAGCCCACTAGACCCTTTTTTTGCATACAAAAATAAAGTCTGATAAGATTACAAAAGAAATCAATTAATTACATATAGTAATTCTAAAAATAAAATCAGAAAATACAATAGCAACATCTTTTCAAAAACATTTAATAAATTAACTTCTCTATACATTAAGTAATTACATCTAACACTAGAGCTAATAACGATCATATCACGTAGAGATGATTATAAGCATTTGAGAAATCTGCAATAACCATGGTATGTGAAAATACCATAACTAGTACAAAGTCAGAAGACCTGTTAATACTGTTTTGTTCAAATTTGAAGGAAATGTTCAATTGTAGCTAGTGCTTAGTGACAATAAAGATGCATTTTTTTCCTGTACAGATTCACAATCCCCTGATATCTATCCATACCAAGAGCTCCTACTCTAAGCTCTACTCAGTTTTCATGACGCCTTCTTCAGTCTAGCTCCCTTGAGCCCTTGTCACTGATATGATAACTAGCTTAACATAAATTGTGACAACTGCTTTACCAGTGCTTGTTAAGAGTCTTTTTTATTGTGAGAGTCTGTATTTCGGTAGTGTTTAAAAATCATCTCAATCTGACAACATTTGCTAAAAGCACCCATCTCTTAATGATAAGCACAGCAGGAACAACTTGTTAAAATGCAGGTTCTGATCTAGGTCTGGTGTGGGGCAGATTCTGATTGGTTGGTCTGCCCGACTACCAACCTGTCCACTCCCAGATGAAGCTAAAGTTGCCATTAAAGAACCACACACTGAATGGCAAAGAGCTTCCGCTGTCACAGGAATCAACAAACTTCAGTCTATAGGTTGGTCACTTGCTTTTGTAAATAAAGTTTTACTGGAACACAGGCACACCCTTGCATTCATATACTGTGTTCACATAGACACTGCTCTGTATCATCCCATCTTCTCAAAAATTATTTCTTTGTATTCATTATCATACTGCATCTATGCAACATACTTTGCTGCCTTAATTATGGTTCATGCTGTCTATCTATTGTGTATCCTTCAACTTTTGAGGGCATTTCTCAAGTGATTTTATTCTAGCTCATAGTAATAAAAAGATTCATAAGGAAAGGTTCATTGTACTTTCTCCAGAAAACATTTGGCAAGTTAACATCCAGAGGAAAAGACAACAAAACACGCTTATGAGGCAGAGCATTAACAAGAAAACAGTGCCCAAAGAAAGAAGCCACGGACATAATAAGTTCGGGAAAATACCACTTCTGAGCACTGACCTTTTCCCTTCAATTCAAAACCCTAGTAACTGGGATCCTTGTGGGAAAAGTATGGGCCATCATTTAGACGTGATTTGTTTTAAGAGAAATTACTCAAAAAAACAAAATGAATGCTATGGATATGGCAAATTCTTACAGCACACAAACCACGACAGAAGACCTAATGGAGAAAAACTCTGGGAATGCAGACACTGTGAGAAAACTTTAAGCAATAATCCAGCACTTATATGTAAACCAGCAGTAGCCAGTTCTCTTGTGTACAAACGTAAGAGGGTCCCCCCTACAGAGAAACCTCATGTCTGTAGCGAATGTGGGAAAGCGTTCTGCTACAAGTCTGAATTCATTAGGCACCAGCGAAGTCACACTGGGGAGAAGCCATATGGATGCACTGACTGTGGGAAAGCTTTTTCACATAAATCAACCCTCACCAAACACCAGAGAATTCATACTGGGGTTAGACCCTTTGAGTGTTTTTTTTGTGGGAAAGCCTTCACCCAGAAGTCACACCGTAGAGAACACCAGAGAACCCATACAGGAGAGAGACCCTTTGTGTGCAATGAATGTGGTAAGTCATTTGGTGAGAAGACATACCTCAATTTGCATAGAAAAATACACACAGGAGAAAGACCCTATCGTTGCAGAGAATGTGGAAAATCCTTCAGTCAGAAATCATGCCTCAATAAACACTGGCGAACTCATACAGGAGAAAAGCCCTATGGATGCGATGAATGTGGCAAAGCTTTCTATCAGAAGCCAAACCTCAGCAGACATCAGAAAATTCATGCTAGACAGAATGCTTATAGGAATGAAAACCTAATAATTGTGGGGAAACCTTGAATCAGATAGCCAGTTTCATTGTGAATGAGGAAGTCATTTCTTTATGTAGGAGAAATCTCATTGATATAGTAAATTTAGTCACAACAAATTTGTTTTATAAGGGAAATCTTGTTCTAATCATGATACAAAACTTTATAGAAAATATTTTGTAAAATATAAACATGGTTACTTTGGCTTATGGATGTTTGAAAATACATTAAATGGAATGATAATAGTACAAAATATATGTGAAAAGAATCAGAGGTATATTGTGGTATGTCCCAAAGTGAGTCACATAATAACCATTATTTATACTTTGGAATTTTAACTGTGAATTTAACATAAATTGTATCAAATGCTTATGTCACATAGTATGTAGAATGCCATTTCCCAAACATTTCCAATCTAACTATCACCACTATATTTTGATGTCTTAACATTAAAAAAAAAAAAATTAGTTATATGGTGAACTATTAAAAAGTTCAACCAACACCAGCTACATTTTCTCCACTTTTTGTAACACTTGTAAAATAGCTATGACCGTTGTTACTGGACCAGAATCTGAATAAAGCAATGTTTTTTAAATGTCTTTTATTAAGTCAGCCAAAACTTTAAATATTTTAACGTTAAAAAACACATTTACTTCATGTATATAATATATAAATTATTCAATACAACAATAAATTATGTAGTTTCCATAAATAAAATGATAAAGTATTTCTTTTACAATTATTAATGCTGAAAGGCAAATCTAAGGTATAGTTTAACAACCTGATAGTGGTTCAATGAAGTACTGTAACCTTTATTACTTAGCACAAGTTATTGGACAGAAAACTAGTGTCCACTGCTCCTATTTTCTTAGTCTGGAGTAAAATGCTTTTGCAGCAAATTGGTAGAAGAGTTTTGGTTTTTTTAGTGTGAGAAAATGCAACATATTTTAAAATTTTTCCAATACAACATCAGATTAGATCAAAGTGAGAAATTGTTTGGAATTCAAAAATGTTCCACAAAGAAACAAATGAAGGAGTTTTCTTTTTTCAGATGAATTCTGTTTAATCATCTTGTTGAGGAAGTGGGGCTAATTTCCAAATAAATGAACATCAGATATGGTGGGGAAGGAATTGGGCTTTAATACCAGGCCTGACTATTATCCTTTTCCCCCAATGGAGAAACTACAAGGAAGTATAATCAAATGCCACATGCGTGTATTTTTTTAGTTGTGGTAGCATCACCTCAGTTGACAACATTTTCTCCCCCGACCCACCACCCAATGTCCAGTCACCAGCCACCACCAACCAGTCCTACACATTCCCTCCCTTTCCCTTCCCCATATGCTGTCACATGACTTATCTTTATCAAGCAATAACTGTCAGAAGGAAAGCAAGAGGAATCCCCAACACACCTTGGTCATTGCTTGCAGAAACGGATCATGCAATCTGGAGACCTCACCTGCAGGGCAGAATTGGAAGAAGAGAAAATAACTGTGACGCCAGATTTTCTTTGGGTCACTCCCAGCCCCACCACCCACACACACCAGGGCTGGAGATCAGCCACACTCCAGTGTTTCAGAGAAAGGTTGCAGTCACTGCAAACCTCAAAAAGGTTTGCTGGGGAACGAGTACTGGAGTCAGATCGCACACCGGCAGAAGCCCCCCAGACTCCACCCATACACACGCATTTGGCACAATCAGGCTTGAACCCAGGTGACCAGAACTCCCACCCATACACACAGGACTGCACGATGAAATTCACACACCCACCACGGGACACGCGGTCGCAAACACCCCCGTGTTGCAGTCACAATCAAATCCACCACGGGGCGCACAGTCACAACCCACGCGTGCCCGCACACGTGTCCACCTCTCGCTGCCCTTCTAGCCGCCTCCCCTAGTCAAGCCGCTTCGTCCGCCCAACCCGGGCGCCAGGTGCATGTGCGTTCCGGCCTCCTGGACCTCGGGCCTCCAGGGGCACCCGCAGAGCCGAGCCGCCTCCTCCCGGACCCACAATCTCTCACCTGGCGAATCCAAGGGTCCCGCCAGTGCTGACGAAACACTCGAGTTCCTGCGAGAAGAGCGCGGGCACCGGCCCTCTGGGAAATGTGGTCTCAGCAGCAGCCACGGCCGAGTCCTCACAGCGCCCCGCTCGCGCGCACCCGAAACCACCGCCCCGGCAACTCTCAGCGCCCCGCCGGGTCGCCACGGGGTGAGTCGCGGCACCCCGGGGCGTCCGGGCCGAGCCTCCGGCTCCCAGCCGGCCCATCTACTCCTCCAGGCGGCTAACGCGCGCGGCGCTCAGGCCGGAAGTGGAGCCCGGCCGCGGAGCCTTCTGGGAGGCGGTGCGGCGCCCGGGAATGTCCGCGAGGAAGCGGGCGCGGAGGGATGGTTCCGAGACGCCGACTCCCGGCCTGGGCTTTCCTGCCTGTCGCCTTGTCCCAGCCCCCCTGAAAGTGCGTGAAGGCGCCTTCGGGAGTTTCCGGCAGGTGACGCTGCCGCGCGGGGAGGGACGGCTCGCGCGGTCCGGGCGGAGCCTGGGAGGAGGCCTAGGGTCCGGGTAGCGGCGGTGCAGAGGGCTAGCCCGGAGTGCGCCCCGCGGAGAGGGTTGCAGTGGCTGGAGCGGAATCGGGTGGGAGTTTGTGCGTGTGTGGTTTACCTGTCTGAGTGGTCCCCATGTGCGAGTGTTGGGGGGTGTGGTTGTGTGTGGAGTGATCGTGGTGGAAGGTAGATCGTGGTGTTCGTGGTTGTGATGGTGTAGAGTCTGTGGTGGGTTCTGGGTGGTTGTCATGGTGAGGTGTTTGTGCTTGTGATGTGTATAGTGATTCTAATCGCAATGGAGGCGACTTCTGGGTAGCTGTTGGTCTAGTTGATAACTCTTGAAGTTTTCTGTTTGATTTCAAGGGAACCTCTCTTCCCTTTGGCCACCCCTTCTTAGTCACCTTTACTGCCTTGCCCTCAGCCCCAGCAGTTTTGACTCTTTTCAGCTTTCCTTGGTGATCTTTTCCAAGACCCATTATCTCAAAATCTTTGCTTTTCTTATTATCTGTGCTAGTTAGTTACGGTCATGATAATTAGTGCTGCCTATCAAGTCACCCCTAAATTCATTGGCATGCCACAGCAAGCATTTATTCTCCGGGTTACAGATTTGCAGGTTGACTGTGTTCAACTGACTTAGGATTGACTGCAGCATGAACTTTGATCTGTTTCACGTGTGTTCTTTCTGTGGTGCAGGCTACTTTCTGTGGTGTGGAACATGTTCTTCTGATGGATCGCCAGAGCACAAGCCAGGTCATTAAACATCTCTAAAACCTCTGCTCCCTGATATATTAACATCACGTTAGCAGAAGCAACTCATACGACTAAGGTTAACATCAGTCAAGCCCACAGCAGGAGAGTCAAAGTTACTGGACAAAGAGAATGAATGTATAACCCTACCTATCACATTGTGAAACATGCTGCTTTATTTTTATTTCTTTAAAGATGAAGTGTTTTTCTTTTTTCTTTTTTTTTAAAAGATTGATTTATTAATGCATACAGAACTGGGGTACAGGCCAGAGGTGCAGGTGAGAGGATTCACCAGACACAGAGTGGGGAGCAGAAAAGTCAGACTGATGAAGTACATTGCTGAGACGAGCAGCAGGGAAGACAGGAGAGGTCAGCTGTGCCTTGTGGGTCAGCTCCCTGGTGGGGATCAAACTGGAACTCCAGCTGAAGCATCTGCTTTGTAGTGCTGCGCTTTAACCCATGGCACCACCAAGGAGGGCCCAAAACATGCTTCCTTATACTGATAAATGCCTTTTGATCCAAGTTCTGTTTTGTCTGACAATACTGCTATTGAGATTTTGTTGTTGTGTTTTCTAGGAATGTCTTTTTCTAAGCCCTTCCCTTTATGCCTTTATGCTGCAGGTCTTGAGCTTGTAAACAAGATATTGCTGGCCATCCCCTGAACCCCCCTAGACTGTTTGTTATTTTAATAGGTAAGTATAATTTAGGCAAATTCATTGTGATTGCTGACAGAATGTCTTATTTACTATTTATTATACATTTCTCATTATGCAGGTTGCCTTCCCCTTTTACTGTGCACTACCTTTAGTTCTATTCTTATCTTGCCACATGCACACTTACAAAATTTAAGACTTCAAAATGCTTACACTCCAAATGACCACCCATTTCTAGGTTATTCTTGTTTACTATGTTACTTTTTTCTAATGTTAAATGCCTCCAAAGTAGTAATATGGAGTAGTAGTTTATATGTACATATTATGGTAAATACAGATAACACAAAATTTACAGTCTTAATTTCTGCACTCCATATTCACTATAACACTATTCATGGCAGCCAAGTAATAGAAATATCCATCCACCAACAGATGATGGGTTAAGAAAGTGCTATATACATATAATGGAAAACCAGCTTTCAGAAAGAAGGAAACCTTGTCATCTCTGACACCAGGAATGAACCTTGAGGGTGTTATCCTAACAGAAACAAGCCAATCACAAGACATATCCTACAGAATCCCATTTACATGAGGTTTTTAAAATAGACTCAAAGAAGCAGAGAATAGAATGGTGTTTGCCAGGGGCTAAGGAGAGGAAGCAATGGGGAATTGTTTTTCAGAGGACAGTTTCTGTTATGCCAGATGATTGAGTTCTAGAGATCCGAACAACAAAATGCATATATTAACACTGTACTATGCACTTTAAAATAGGTTAACAGAATAGATTTCATGTTGTGTTCCTACCTAAATAAATAAATAAGAAACCCCACAAGGAAGTTTTTGGAGGCAATATCTATGTTGCCGTAGTTGTGATACTGACATCACTGATGCATTGATGTGGCTAAACTCATCAGGGCATAACTCATCAGGACATACATGTTAAATGTATGCAATTTTTTTATACCTCAATAGAGCTAGGAAAACTGACTATACAGAGTAGACATGTGTTTTTTATTTTATTCACATGACTGTTGTTTGCCTCTTCTAAATTTTAATGTAGTTTCATTTTTTTCTAAGTACACCTAGATTTTTTAAGTGCTGGTAAGTATATAACCATTAATGAAAGTTTCCTATTCTGTCTCATCGCATCCTGTTCCCACTCCCCAGGAGCAAGCTCTGTGAACCCTGTTTAATGGGTATTTTGGTCTTCAGCGCCTCTTTTCAGAATTCTGTGCTCATACTGCTGATGTGGCTTCCTCAATTTTCAGTATTTCCCAAATGCAAGATCTGTATGCATTTGTCATCTGATCACAGGAAGGAGTCCTAGATTATGCTAACACCCTTGTTTGGAGAGGCAGACAAAATACCACATTCCAGCAAAAGAAGGCTGTGGATTGTGCAGGCAAGGCCTGACCTCCGGCAGAGTGTGCAGGCGAGGCCCGGCCTCCTTTGTTCCCAGTAGGAATAAAATGCCAGGGTCCTAGGGCAATGCTGTGTGCCGGTAGATGCACTGGGCACTGTGCACATGGCACTCTGCACATGTCCACCGGAGCCCGTGTCTGCATTAGTCCTTCGTGTCCATTTCAGTGGTTAACGTGTCCCAGGCTCTGAGGAGCATCCGAGGAACTTGTAGCCAAATGGTGGTGAAAGTTTCCACGTACCTTCATCTGGAGCTCTGAATAAACCGCTTTCATTTCTCTCCCCTTAGCTTGGCATTCGCAGGACCCAGTCGAGGAAGAAGACAACATGACCACTCGCCCAGCACCTCCACATGTTCGTCAGCCCGGAGTCACCTCCACCTGAGTTCTCTTCTAAGACTTTTATAGCTCTGACATTTAGATCTGTGATTGTTCCCTGCAAGTGTCTCAAGATTCAATTGGAGCTTTAAAATTGGTCTTATATCCTACAATCTTGATGTTACTAGTTTATTCTCACTGAATTTTAGTGAATCCTTAAATTTTCTATGTGTAAAATCATGCCATCTGAAAATGAAGGCAGTTTTGTCTCCTTTCTACCCTGGATGCCTGTTATTTCATTTTCAGATAGACTTGATGACCAATTCTCATTTCCTTCATTTTCAACTACATAGTGGATATTCTCTCTGGAAGTGCTAGAGAAATTTCAAATTTTGCACATTCAGGTTTTTAAACCTCTCCACCTTTTCCTGTCCTATTTCTCTTACTTCCCCAGTTTGTCCTTATTCCCTTTCTCACCAGAACATGCATTCACTGAACCGTTACATGAGAGTCAAGTCTGACTTTCCCTCTCTGTCACAGCCAGGTATAAATCAGTGGCCACACACCTAGCTGCCTGCAGTTATTATGAGTTAAGATGATAAATTCCTAAGTTTGATGATTCAGTAATCAACATACTCTTTTTTTAATAAAAATTTATTTATTTATGCATACAAAACGGGTACAGGACAGAGGTGCAGGGCAGTGAGAGGAATCACCAGAGACCGAGTGGGGAGCAGAAAAGGCAGATTGACTGAAATATACTGCTGAGGGGAGCAGCAGGCAAGACAGGAGAGGTCTGCTGCGCCATGTGGTCACTTCCCGGGCTAGCAATCGAACTCTCACTGAAGCGGCTCGCAGTGCTGTGCTTTAACCCTCTGCGTCACCAGGGAGGGCCCCAGCATACCCTTACAGGTTATTCCTGTGGTATATTTTCTACACTGTAATACAAAGTTAAGAAAATATGTAGACTTGAGGCCTCCCTGGTGGCCTAGGGTTAAGTCTCAGGGCTATCACCACTACGGCTTGAGCCTGATCCCTGGCCAGGGAGCTGCCCCACATGGTGTAGCAGACCTCTCCTGTCTTCCCCCTGCTCCCCTCAGCAGTGCATTTCAGCAGACCTGCCTGTTCTGCTCCACACTGTCTCTGGTGAAGCCTGCCCTTCCCCCACCTCTGGCCTATACCCAGTTCTTTATACACACAAAAAGACTTAGTTCACAGTTTTGAATGAACTCTGATCTCTAGTTATTGGCTAAAAGAGTATTTCTATGTTTGGTCTCTAACCTCTAGTTTTTACTTCAAATTAACGAGGATTGTGTTTCTGCAGGGAACGGTGACATTTAAGGACGTGGCCGTGGACCTCACCCAGGAGGAGTGGCACAGGCTGAACCCTGCCCAGAGGAATCTGTACCGGGATGTGATGCTGGAGACCTACAGCAACCTCATCATCGTGGGTGAGGGGGCTTTGTAGCTGCCCATAGATCTCCTCTCCGTATTTAAGCTATGGGAAGACGTTCACTTTCCGATTATTCCACCCTACCCTTTCTTCACACGATCATATACTCATCCTCGGGGTTGGTCCTCCATCACCATGCTTCATATGCCCTCAAATTCCCAGACTCTGCCCAGCAGTAATGTCCACATCCTTTGCTGTTCCCTATACATACAGGCTGTCAGGTTGCCAAACCAGACGTGATCTTCAAGTTGGAACAGGAGGAGGAGCCCTGGGTGGCACAGGAAGAAATGTTTGGGCAACACTGTCCAGGTGAATGAGTTAAGAGACAGCTCCATGACATTTGTCCAGGGGTAGAGACCATTTGACATTTTCTGGGATTTTCTGAAAGGTACTACCCTGCTAGAATGGGTTACTGTGACACTTCCAGAAACTGTCCTTCCTGTGTTGGGACTCTTTTCCTTTCTCAAGTTGTTGAGGGCCAGTAGCCCATCTGGTCTCAGGATGCCAGCCTTTCCTTAATTCATTCAGAACCTAGCTTTCTTTCTCTGATCCTTAAACTCTAGTTCTTCTGAGTCCACAGCTGTTTCTTATGCAGTCCAGGTTTCATAGATTTCTAGTGTTTTGTTTTTTAAAGATTTATTTATTTGTGCATACAGAACAGAGGTACAGGCTAGAGGCTCAGGGGCAGCGAGAGGCTTCACCAGAGACAGAGTGGGGAGCAGAACAGGCAGATCAACTAAGTACACTGCTGAGTGGAGCAGCGGGCGGGGTCAGGAGAGGTCTGCCGAGCCATGTGGATCACCTCCGGGGCAGGTGGGAATCAAACTCATGTGGAAGTGGCCTTAGCTTCTCAGTGCTGTGCTTTAACCTGCTGCACCATCAGGGAGGGGCCAATTTCTAGTGTTTTAAAGCATGTTTGTTTGTTTCACATTTAGATTTCTTTTAATATCTTTCCATTGTGAAAACCCTCAGATGTGTATTACAATAATGTCACGCTTCCTGTTGCTTGTCAGTTTTAATCCCAGTTAGCTTTAAAAGTGTCTAGCTGTGAAACTAATGCTTCCTTCCTGTTTATTGCCATCTTCCACTCCTCTAATATTTTGAAAATATAATGTATACATGCTTGTATAAAAAACCTAAATAATCCAAAAGATACATGCAAAGCAAGTCTCCTCTTACATTTAATAGTCTCGTGCTTTCCCTGGTTGCTTACCTCTTCTTTACAGCTTTGGAGGCTGTTCTTCACAGCTTATTTTGCCACATGAAATTTAGAGTCAGTCTGCATTTCCATGGAGAAGCCTGTCAACTTTGTAATGAAATGTGTTAGATGTTAACTAAATGTGTTAGAAATTAACTTTTGGAGATATGCTATCTATAATGTCAAGATTTTGTATTTGAGAGCATATTCTGTTCAAATCTAACTATTTTTCTGACCTTCAGAAATACTTTCCAAGTTTTTCTGTCATCATTTTTGTAAATTCTTACTAATAGAAGAAAAAGAACCAATACTTTAAGTATTGGAAAGGAGGGCCCCTCCTGGTAGCCCGGTGGGTTAGGCACAGCACTGTAAGCTAGCCAAGCCACCTCAGTGTGAGTTTGATTCCCCACCCTGGAGGTGACCCACAGGGTGCAACAGAACTCTCCTGGCCCGCCCACTGTTCTCCTCAGCAGTATACTTCGTCAGTCTGTCTGTTCTGCTCCCCACTCTGTCTCTGGTGAATCCCCTCACCGGCCCTGCCCCTCTGACCTGTACCCCAGTTCTTGATGCATAAGTAAATAAATCTTAATTTAAAAAAAATAACTGGAAAGGAATCTATAAAAGTATACTCATAGTGATAAAATTGTATTCATGGAAAACATAAGAGAAGCAACTAAAAAAGTCCATCACATAACAAAGTTCAGTTAATGGCAAGGCTCCTTCATAGATGGTTCGCTGCATATCTCATTGCACCTTATGTTGGAAACGGCCCACTTATATGCCAAAGCTCAGTCACGTCCAGAGCCCTACATGCAGAGGTGTCTAGGTAACGTACTTTTACTGTGCAGGAGAAGAACACATAGTAGGAATTTGAAATCTATCTTAGCAGGTCCTGTTTTAGGAACTCTAACTGCAGCTTGTTCATACTTTAATCTTCTCAGCTGCACTCTTATCCCTCTCTTTGAATACCTCATACTGCAACTGGAGATTTTCTAGTGTTTTGTCTCCAAATCGCTTTGTTGCTTGATATTTGCCTTTTCTTTCTTTAACATTGATTTTTTTTTTTAACATTGATTTTATTTATGCACATAAGAGCTGGGGTATGGGCTAAAAGTGCAAAGGAGGGTGAAGTAAGAAGACTCACCAGAGACAGAGTAGGGAGCAGAACAGGCAGACTGACTGAAATCCACTGCTGAGGGGAGCAGCAGGTGGGTCAGGAGAGGTCTACTGTGCCAGGGGGGGTCACCTCCTTGGCCAGGGAGTGAATTCATGCTTCAGTGTTTGCAAATAGCCTCATAGTGCCACATTTTAAACTCATTGAGCCACCAGGGAGGGCCCCCTGTTTTCTTTCTTGTGGATCTGACTGTTCTTTTACCAGAATTTTATTTTTTTTAATGGAATTTTAGGAAGGAGGAGAAATAGATACATCCAATCTACCTCATTTAACCACAGTATTAATTTTATATTCTAGTCATCCTACTCACTTATCCAGTCATTTAAGCATTTGCCCTTTTATCTTAATCATTCTATTAATTTTTGCTGATTTCTGCACTGTATAAATATAGCTTTGAAATCAGTCAAAGCTATTTGTGCCTACAGATGTTAGTTTTCATATTTCTTAGAGGAGTTAACATATCAACCAGGTACATATGCACTTTGGATTTCTTTCACACTGGGAGACTGGGGCCAACATTAAAAGTCTACCTCACATTAGCAGATTTCTATTATTAATAGTGTGGTAGAAAAATTCAAAAGAAATAATATTTGGTTCTCCCTTTTAGAAGTTTGGGAAGTTGATGAACAACAGATCAGGAAGCAACAGGAAACACTTGTGAGGAAAGTCACATCCATCTCTAAGAAAACGCTGATTAAGGAAAACATTGAATATAAAAAAATGACAAATATATCTCCTCTGAGCTCAGACATTGTTAATTCAAGGCAAAGCTTCTATGAATGTGACTTACTTGATGAGGGCTTGGAATATAATTTAAACTTACTAAATTATGAGGAAGGCTGTGTAAGAGAGAAAAATTATGAATGTAGTAAGTATGGGAAACCGTTCTACCATTGCTCATCTCAAGTTGCTTCCCCCTTTAAGTGTAATCAGTGTGGACAAGACTTCAGTCATAAATTTGACCTCATTAGACATGAGCGAATTCATGCTGGAGAGAAGCCCTATGAATGTAAGGAATGTGGAAAAGCCTTCAGCAGAAAGGAAAATCTTATTACACATCAAAAAATTCATACTGGGGAAAAACCCTATAAATGTAATGAATGTGGAAAAGCTTTCATTCAGATGTCAAACCTTATTAGACATCAGCGAATCCACACAGGGGAGAAACCTTATGCATGTAAGGATTGTTGGAAAGCCTTCAGTCAAAAATCAAATCTCATTGAACATGAAAGAATTCATACTGGAGAAAAACCCTATGAATGTAAGGAATGTGGAAAATCCTTCAGCCAAAAGCAAAATCTTATTGAGCATGAGAAAATTCATACTGGGGAGAAACCATATGCATGTAATGAATGTGGTAGAGCTTTTTCCCGAATGTCATCTGTTACTCTACACATGAGAAGTCACACTGGCGAGAAACCCTACAAATGTAATAAATGTGGAAAAGCCTTCTCTCAGTGCTCAGTATTTATTATACATATGAGAAGTCATACAGGTGAGAAACCCTATGTATGTAGTGAATGTGGGAAAGCCTTCTCTCAGAGTTCATCCCTTACTGTACATATGAGAAACCACACAGCTGAGAAACCTTACGAATGTAATGAATGTGGCAAGGCCTTCAGCCGGAAAGAAAATCTCATTACACATCAGAAAATTCATACTGGAGAGAAACCATATGAATGTAATGAATGTGGGAAAGCTTTCATTCAGATGTCAAACCTCATTCGACACCAGAGAATTCACACTGGTGAGAAACCCTATGCATGTACAATATGTGGGAAAGCCTTTAGTCAGAAATCAAATCTCACAGAACATGAGAAAATTCATACTGGAGAGAAACCCTATCACTGTAATCAATGTGGAAAAGCTTTCAGTCAAAGACAAAATCTCCTTGAGCATGAAAAAATTCATACTGGAGAAAAACCATTTAAATGTAATGAATGCGGTAAAGCCTTCTCTCGAATCTCATCCCTTACTCTTCACGTGAGAAGTCACACAGGGGAGAAACCATATGAATGTAATAAATGTGGAAAAGCTTTCTCTCAGTGCTCACTACTCATCATACATATGCGAAGTCATACTGGTGAGAAGCCTTTTGAATGTAATGAGTGTGGGAAAGCCTTCTCTCAAAGAGCATCTCTCTCTATACATAAGAGAGGTCACTCAGGTGAGAAACATCGAGTATACTAAATGAGGGAAGACCCCTTAAATTCAGACCATGATTTACTTAACTTTGAAATATCTTGTCATTAACTCAGAAAAATAAGCTATGGGAAAATTGTAAACCTTTATTGAAGACCATAAGACAAAAAAAAAAAAAAGGAGAAATATTATATATGTACATGGAAAACCTTTATCACAAAAGTGTCAGTTCTCCCAAAATTAATCTATAATAATACATAATGCAGTTTCAAATATTTAGCAAGCATTCAATAGGCTCTTGCACATTTTTCTAAAATTCATGTGAAATAAAAGTTTGTAGATTGCTGAAGCAGTTTAAAAATGAACAGGAGATACTTTCTACCATATGCTATACATATGGTCATGAAATATTATGTTAGTATATTATTAGATTTGTAAATGATTTTACAGAATAGATTGCCTAAAAGTAAGCCAATAAATAGCTATGAACTAGGTGTATATTAGACATGACATCATTAATAAGTAAGGAGATGACAGTATTGTCAGTAAAAATTGGAATATTTGACTCCACATTAAGGAGAAAAATATACAACCTTACAACATGTAAAGAAACAGTTCCAAAGGCTCTGAAAACTGGTATGTGAAAAGCCAAACTCTGAAACTATTGAAAGGAACTAAGAACATAGTATATGACTGAGGTAGGAAAGCAATTTTTTCAAAGACAAAAAAAGAAACCTGCAATCCCACTTTTGGATACAATCTAAAGAAATTCACAGATATTCATAGGAAATAGTAGTATCTGAATAAAAAAACAACCTAAATGAAGGTTTTGTAATAGATGAAAGAATTGTGTGATCTATTCAAACAATGGAATAGTATACAGCAATTAAAAAGTACTGAACTAGATCCATATTTTGTAAGATATAAACAACATGGAATGAAACTGTATAATTATTCATGTAAATTGGAATGAAATTCACAAAGAACAGAACTATGTTTTTATTGAATTATGTGTATATGTAAAACTATTTAAAGTGGACCTGAAGGATACATATCAATTATTGCTAGTATTGTTTCTGGCCAGAGATTGAATTGAGGGTATTGATCAAAGGTGGCTTTTAGCTTTACTTGTAATATTTATGCCTTAAAAGAAAATGGATAGCATATAAAATAAATCTTAAATACTAATGATACAAAATGGGAATATGGATGTCTTAATGTATTTCTAGTTATTTCTAAGAATGGGGTAGGGAAAGTTTATGCCATAGGGGAAAAACATTATAATGGTATCCTGAACTGCTGTCAAAAATATTTCCAAGAAAATTAGTATTTAGAGCTGTCAGTCCTGTTTATAATGTGAGATTAGCGCATTTTACTAAATCCATGATGCTCTATTTTATATTTATCATTTCTGAAGTTGGGACTCATCCAGTTATGTTTTAGTTTCAAGCAAATTTGTAACTATTAAAAATCTGACAATCAGATGACAATGATAAATGTTACTGTATTTGCTGTTTTAGATCACTGTGGCCTACTATTGATGTGTTTCTTGCATCATTTGGTAGAGATTTGTTGGAATCATAGACAACTCACTCAAAGAATGTCTAGAATCACGCAGAGTCTTTTCTGAGAAATTGACTGGAATATTTTCTTTTTTAAAATAATTTTCATTGAAGTCACATAGCATTATAATATCAGTTGAAGATGTGCATCATTGTAAATTACCATTTGTGTATACTGCATTAAGTTCAACTCTAAAAGTCTCCTTCTGAACTTCACCATGCCTCATCTCCAAAAACTCACTGTCAAGGCATAAAGAGGTGGGAGGGATAAAGAGAAAAATTTGCATACTATTTATGATATATGTCCCAGATAAAGGATTTTATAAAACAATAGGAATCATGGGTAAAGAAAAATGGTACAATTTATGTTAATAGAAACAGTTATTGCCAGTGGAACAGCAGAATTGACACAGCATTAATAAAGACAGGAAACTACTGGAAAACAGTGGCATATAATTTAGGTTGGAGTGGGTCCGATTCAAAGTATTTCAAGTCCATTTATTGTTAATAATGAAGCAGATTTAGTTTTGAGATACTGATTTAGTAGGATATAAGAGACCTAAAGTAACTGTCTTTTTAGAAAAGACAAACTCATTTGTGCATATATTACTCCATACATCCTGTACAGTTTTTAAGAAACAATTACAAGTATGCTAAAAGGCAAGAAAAAGCAGTTTGGAAAACAAGCAAGCTTCAGTACCACAGTTACACAGGACACAGATTTTGAAATTATCAACTAGGAAATTCAAAGTAACAATGTCAATACAGTTAAAAGTCTTTAATGGGGAAAGTACACAATATGGAAGCAAGAAGGATGGAAACAAAAAAGATCAAAAGAAAATGCAAGAAAACTGAAACAACACTTTGCCAGGGCCCTCGCCCATGCTCCCAACCACTTTCTGCATTAGCACAATCAAGAGGCTAGAGGCATAAAAAGCCTGATTAGTTCCCTTATCTGACAGTGTGTCTTTACCCGGCAGGTCCAGGTGTTAACCCTCTTTCCCTTGTCTTTCTCCCTGACTCAATCTCAAACTTCCCCCACTTATTTCCATAATGACTAATGGTTTCTTTTTCTTTCCCACTTTTCCTTGTTAAGATGTGCGCTGAAACATGCATAGTGTGAAGTACAAAAATCTTAGGTATGCATCACAGGCACAACTAAATCTGCCACCCTGGGCAAGAAAGTATAATTCCACCTCCTCCTAGAAAGTTCCCCTGGCTGTTTTCCCTTTTAAGATAACCACTATCCCCTTCTCAAGTAACCACTCTTTTGACTTCCATCTCCAGCGGCTCATTTTCCTTGTTTTTGAACTTCATATAAGTGGAGTCTGAGAATGTCTTTGATCAGACAAAGTATCGTTTGCTCAGCTATAGGGAGACTGAGGCTGTTGTGTATTTCAAGCCCTGTCGCCCTGCTGATAAAGCCCACCATGCCTGTGTATGGTTAACAGCTGGTGGGTGCCTGCATTATCCAGTTTGGAACCATTACAAATAAAGCCACTGTGAACATCTCTCCACACATCTTTGTATAGATATGTTCTCATTTCTCCTAGTTAAGTACCCAGGAATGGCTTGTTTGGTTCCTACGGAGGTAAACACTTGTGAAAGTTCTTCACTTTTGATGCTAATTCATTCTCAGTTGCTTGGATTTTTCTTAGCTTGGCAAACCATGGAAAATTAGCCACAGTGGTAATTTTGATTGACTGTTTTGAATGAACATCAGCTGCACCCGGTTTTGGGTGGAAACTTGGTGCAAAAGTCACCAGGAAGCTTTAGCAGCTGTTTCTAGAACATACTGACTGTGTTTCCTATTTAACCAGCTGCTATTTCTCCTCAAACTGAATTTAATCACTAAGAGGAAAAGAGCAGCCCAGAAGCAGAAATTAAAAGAAAAACACATCAGAGGCCCTCCCTGGTGGTGCAAGGGGTTGAAGCACAGCAGTGTGAAGCTCACTGCAGCTGCTTCAGTGTGAGTTCGATCCCCTGCCAGTGAGGTGACCCACAGGGCCAAGAAGACTTTCCCTGACTCACCCGCTGCTGCCCTCAGCAGTATACCTCAATGTTCTGCCTGTTCTCTTCCCAGCTCTACTAATGGTGAATCTTCTCACTGCCTCTGCACCTCTGGCCTGTACCCCAGTTCTGTACATAAATAAAATAAATCTTTTAAAAAATGTGTTTCTGTTATTATTTATCAGTACTGTGTTTCATTTAACCTTTAGAACCAAACTGAATTTTTAAAATTTGGTCCAATTTTTTGTTTTCTAACTTATCAACTTCACCTACACTTATTCATTTTATATTTAACAAGTTGTAATAACTCGATCTTCATAGGAAGGATATGCTAATGACCAAAATGTAAGAAAGTACTACTAAATAGAAAAAAAAATCACAGTTACACCCCCTACAAATTAAACTACTGTAAACAAATGTTAATTTATCTTTCCTGAGATCTTAATAGCCAAGTACCTTTCTATTTGTATGTATTTCAAAAATTCAGAAAATACCGTTTAGTGACACTTTTTTCATCTAAAGTATTTCTCAAACATATTCCTGTTTTTTTTTCAATATTGATTTATTTATGTATACAGAACTGGGGTACAGGCCAGAGGTGCAGGGGCAATGAGGATTCACCAGAGACAGAGCAAGGAGCAGAACAGGCCGAATGACGAAGTATACTGCTGAGGGGAGCAGCGGGGAGACAGGAGGGGTCTGCTGCACCATATGGGTCAGCTCCCTGGCTGGGATCGAACTCTCACTGAAGCAGCTTCGTTTAGCTTGTAGTGCTGTGTTTTAACCTGCTACACCACCAAGGAGGGCCCCATATTCCTGTTATTAAATATCTTTTTTTGGTAACTCTAAGAGTAGCCATCAAGGCTGCTGGTTCTTCCAAAGATCAGGGACCCCAGTTAAGTGGCACCAGCCTGGGCTAGGGGCCGAATGGATGGCCACCCTGGCACACTCAGAGAAAGAGAGAGAAAATCCAGGCAGTTGTGGTGACATACAGGTCAGGTTTGATCCTGGTGTTAGCCATCAGACCCAGGGCTTACCTGCTCAGCTCCCACACAGGCATGCAGGGCAGGCTGGACCCACGGCCAGGCATTCCTTTTGAACACGGCCAGGTCTGAGCGCCTACTGGCACCAATCAGCACTTGGAGACAGCTGGTTTGGAAAATAGACCAAGCTGGCTTGAAAGGCAGGTTTCCTGAAGGGGAATAAACAGAGGCTTCAGAGGGGGCTAGAGAAGACTTCAGGAAGGCTCTCAAGGGAGGCCTGGCTCAACTTGGGAGAGGCCTCCAGAAGGACCTGGGCTTCGGGAGACACAGCTTGACTCCCTAGAAGACCTTTGCCACAGACCCTCATGGGCTTTGATACCTTCGGCCACCTGCAGCCATAGCCAGTGCCCCTAGCCTATTCCTGGCATCTGGGAAGAACTGTAAACACTGGTGTCATGGGCCGATGGCCCCGCCTCAGAGAGCTGTCCTGTCTGATCTGGCACTGCCCACTCAAGGCAGCTGCTAGAGATTAGCTGGTTCCGGGACGCCCCCCCAGTTCCAGGTGCTCACGGCGGGGGACAGGGCCCCCTCGCTCCAGAAGCTTTTGGTTTGGTTTCCACTGGACACTGGGGGTGGGGAGGCTGTAAGGGGTAAGACAGCCGGCCGTTGTGGCCTTAGGAACGCTTTTCTTCCCCCAATCACCCCTTTATAAATAAACCCTGTTGGTAAACCCCGAGTCTGAGCCTGCCTTATAATTATGAGCACACGGGTGAGACCCCACCAACCGTGAGCCTCTCCCCGGAGCCCTGCACACTTCATAACCTACTTGAAAAACCTAAGTTCACCTACCACTACGTCCTTACCCCACTGTCTCCTCTGCCTGGCCGGGCTGTCCTTCCACTTCCCCGGCACTTTCTCAGACTCGCGGTCCTCCCAGAACCGACCTCCACCAGCGCAGCCCGCGAGCCAGGCGGGACTACATCTCCCAGAAGCCTCCGGGGCGGCCCCTGCCAGCCGGCTGTCCACGTGGGCCCCTCGGCTCAGAGCTGCACTCCGAGGTCCAGCTGCCCGGCCGGGCATTACGGGCTGCGCCTCCCGGGACCATCAGCGGCTGAGGCATGAATTCCCAGCTGGAAGTTGGGGTTAGTCCAGCTCAGCCGGGATCGTAGGGCGCCGCGGGCCGAAACGCCCAGGTGCCGGAGGAGAAGTCCTAGTTCGGCCCCGCGCGATCCTGTGCCCTTGTGGCTAGGACGCCTGGTGGCCTGCCCCCTCCCGGCTTTTAACTCATTCTTACAGGCTGCTGGGCTGTCCCCAGGTTGGGGCGGGGGCTGGTAAAGCCGGACTGATTTCGGGCACTCGCCCGACTCCCGACTCTGAGCTATAACCCCCTCGGTCCTTTCCTGAGCGGCGGGTGCGCCCCGCTCCCGGGAGTCGCCCAGGCGCCGCTCCGCGGTCTGGACAGGACGGGACCGCAGCCCGGCGGCGCCGCGCGACCCCGGGCGCAGAAGACGGTGCCGCCCGGACTCCAGCGGGCCTCGCCTCGGGGCCGCTTTTTTGCGGGCTCCGCCACTTCCGGCCGAAGTTGGCCGCCCGAGGTGAGCTGGCGGGAGTTGGGTCGCCGAGGGGTGGGAGCGATCGCGGCGGGCCTGGCTCACTGGCTTGGGTGGATTCAGTCGAACGGCTTGCTAGGGAGACGTGGACGGTGGACTGTCCCGTACGGGGCTTGGTCTCTGGAGTTGTAACGTGGGTGGCTGCGAGCCAAAAATAAAGGGTGGGGGTGTGGACGTGTCTTGTCCTCACGCCCCCGTGGCAGGTGGTGGCCTTGTGCCAGCACCTGGTGCCTGTGATTTCACACTGGCCCTGGAAGGGGGTGTTTGGAGAGCAAGGGCCTGGCAGCTGTTTGGCTTCTTGCCTACGTGGAAAGTTGGCATGATGTGCCTGAGACGTGGGTTTTGCTCCAGATGGCCAGGGCTGTGCGAGCTGTGCCTGCCAGGCTGTGGTTAGGTGCCTCAGCTGGCCCCTCTGTGGCTCGGTGTGTGAGATCCCCAAGAATGGTGTCACTGTCTGCCTCTCCAACAACTGAGAAGGGTGCCCTCTGGGTACATTCTGGATAGGCCAGAGGATGGGTCCCCTCTCCAGGCCTGCTCTCAGGAGTCCCCACTGGAGGGTTAACAGAAGGCTGCTCAAGGGAAGAATGCTCTTTCCCCAGATGTCTAGAATAGGTAATGTGGGGAGTGGGTTTTGGGGGATGCCTAAGAGTTCATCCAGCTGGGGAGCAGAGGGAGGGCCTTGCAGGATCAATGGCCAAAGTCTATGTTCCCAGAGGGCAAACTGGTGGGCCTTTGTGGAAATGGCGTCCGGAACTGGTGTCACTGCCTCTGTACGGTGTCTGTGCTGCTCCCCTCACCTCCCGCTGCTCCCCCATAATTTGTTGTGTATAACCAACCAGCGCTGCTTCCCTTCTGGCCCTGCTGAACCTCTCCCCATCTCTGAGCCCAGCAAAACCACATTACAAAAGTTTCCAGTCTCTGTAACTCCCGTTGTGCATTGAGTCCAGTGGCAACTGACTCCCTCCCTGGCAAACTCTCCAGTTCTGTGACTGGCTTCCCAGGGCTGTTTTATGTTGTGGAGGGGAGAAGGGGGCAGGGCTTGGTGCTGGGAGCCCCTCCTACTTCCACTGCTCTTCTTGCGTCCTGTGCCCACCAGAGATCAGGCCCAGTGAGATGCCCCCAGATTAGAACACAGACATGTAGGACTTGGCTGGGGAATCCATGTGGAGCCACAGAGCCGGCCCAGAGTAAGGTGCCGAAGTCAGGAGCTGATGGAGGGAGGATGCCAGTCTGAGGGCCCCGCCTAGGACCCTGGTGTGGCCCTTTTCAGTGTGATGGGGACCGGTAGTGGGGCCACAGGCTGCTTTGGCTTTGGCTTGCCTCTTGGTGCTTGTGTGGCCATTGCGTGGATTCGTAACTTTTACCACCATTTTCCTCTAAGAATCCAGAAGAGGAGGGGGGAAGAGCTCCTGCATCAAAAATCATGGCAGAGGTGAGTTGTGCTTGCCACTTTCTTCTTGGGAACTGCTTCTTGGTTTTCTGGACACCGTCCTATTTCAAAATTCTGTCTAAAAGATTTAGATAGAGACTTGGAGAAAGGAGGGAAACACTTCTGTGGAGAGTTTTCCCACCAGAGCATGAGACACTGTCTCATGTGACATGAAACGTCCGTGTCCTTTGGATTGTTCATTCCCAGAAGAGTCCTGATGGCGTATGCCAGTGATTGGCAGGAACCTGAGTAACAGATAAGGTTATGCGCTCTAGTCTGACTATTCTTTGTAACCCTCTTCTGAGCAACCTACAGTTGCTCTAGATATTTTTTCCCCCAAGATAGAAATAATCTAAATGCCCTCGTTTTAGTGACTAAAGAATAGAGTCTTGCAAAAATGTCAGACATTGAGAAAATTATTAAGAAAGCCCGTCACCCATGGCTCTGTCATCTAGAGATGTCGCTGTTAATATTTTTCAATTATTGGGTCTGCACTAAGGGTCTATAATTCTGTTTTCAGGACAGGATGTATTACAAATAGGAATAACTTAGGTTTACTTTGAACCAAGTACTTTGAAGTTTTGTGTCCATCTTACTGAACCCACAAAACAAGCCTATGGGACAATCAAAACTATACTTCATTAAATCTGTGGGTACATTTCTTCCTCTCCCCCATTTCAACATTGCTGGAATGGGGGTGGGCTTTACAATTTCTGGCATGTCATAGTTTCATTCATAATCTGTGGTGGCTTTACAATCTGTAACATCTCAGATTTGATGAAATGTGGAATGATGCTAATTTGATAGTTGAAGAAAGAGTTTGGTAATTCCCTGCCCCAAAAGTACGCAATTAATAAATGGTAAAACCAGAATATCTGAACTGCTGACAGGTCCTTTGCTAACTGGTCAGAATGTTACCTTTTTATGTTTTTTATTATTACTTTAATTTTAGAATGCTCTTTATTTTGATACTTCCTGGACAAGGGTTTTCCAGTACTTGCTTGAAGTTTTCTATGAAGTCTGATCTCTCCTTTTGCAGCGATTGCTGTACCTTTGAACCCACTGTGAGGAACTGGTGCCCTGTCTGAATGGCCTCCATTTATTTTAAACAACAGTTCACACTTTATGCATATTTTCTCTCTGGCCAAAGTTGTTTTAGGAATGTTTTTTACAGTTAATTATTTTATTTTATTTTTTTGACTATTTATTTATTTATTCATACAGAACTGGGGTACAGGCCAGAGGTACAGGGGCAGTGAGAGGATTCACCAGAGACAGAGTGGGAGCAGAACAGGTCGACTGACGAAGAACACTGCTGAGGGGAGCAGTGGGCGGGTCAGGAGAGGTCTGCTATGCCATGTGGTCACCTCCAGGACTGGGGATCGAAATCATGCAGAAGTGGCTTTGGCGCTTTAACCCGCTGCGCCACCAGGGAGGGCCTACAGTTAATTTATTTTTACCTAAGTGTTCAGCGTTTTCAAAAGATGTATTCTCCCTAAATGCCATGCCAGCAGGTCCTCCCTACTACAAACACAGAAAAGTCATTCATTAAAGCTCATATTTGCTCAATTTGATCCTCAATGTTTCTGCTGTGACACAAGACCACAGGATGTTGGCTGTAAAATTCCTAACTGCGAAAAAAAAAATTCCTAACTGGGGCTGTTTAGATTTTTTTTCTGTGACTTTGGATTGATTAAAGAATGGCTTAGTGTTTGCAGTATGTAAATTCAAAATTTTTTTTCCTGAACATGTCTGGTCACTTGGTTCTCAAGAATTTTTAGGCTGTCCCCCCCCCCCCCCGGTGGTGCAGTGATGAAAGCACAGCACTGCAAAGGCCGAAGCTGCTTTGGCACAGCATAAACTCAATCCCCCGCCGGGAGGTGATCCCCATTGTGCAGCAGCTGCCTCCTGCTCCCCAAGCAGTGTACTTTGTCAGTGTGCATGTCCTCTCACCACCCCATACCTCTGGCCTGTACCCCAGTCCTGTATACATAAATAGATAAATAAATCTTTAAATAAAAAAAGAATTTCTATTAGTTTAAACATTAAAGCTCATTTCTTTCTATTCTGGATTAAAAAGCACTTTCTGGGCCTTCTTAGTGATCTAGGGTTTAAGTCTCAGCACTATCACCTCTACGGCCTGAGTTCGATCCCTGGCCAAGGACCCACATGGCGCAGCAGACCTCTCCTGTCTTGCCCACACTCAGCAGTGTGTTTCAGTAGATCCACCTGTTCAGCTCCCCATGCTGTTTCTGGTGAATCTTCTCACCCTCCACACCTCTGGACTACATCGCAGTTCTATGCAAAAATTGAAAAAAGAAAAGCACCTTCTCTTTTCGCTAGTGAAGCAACTCTAGTATTGAGAGAGAACAGTAAGTTACTTGTTATTCCAGACCTTTCCTTCCTGGCCGCTCTGGTCTTCTCCCACATCACTTCCATCTACTGCTTTCCCAGAATACTGTCTGCGACCCAGACACAGAGCATGCAATTATTTTTCCTTCTCTACCTCCAACTTATTTATCCACTCTTCTTGGAATGCTGTTCAGTCTGTTTTGTTTGGGAATTCTACTCCTTCTCTAGATCCCAAACATTTTATTATGAAAAATTCCGGTCTGTAGAAAGTTGAGCAGTTGCATACCTGATTTCCGTTCTCTGATTGTGGATCTGTGCCCCTGTTTGCACTTTATTTTTAAAGATTTATTTATTTATGCATACAGAATTGGGGTTCAGGCCAGAGGTGCAGGGGTGGTGAGAGGATTCCCCAGAGACAGAGTGAGGAGCAGAACAGGCAGATCTGCGAAGTACACTGCCGAGGAGAGCAGCGGGCGGATCAAGAAAGGTCTGCCGCGCCATGTGCGTCACCTCTGGGGCGGGGATCGAACTCACACTGAGGCAGCTGCAGCCAGCTTGTAGTGCTGTGTCTTAACCTGTTGTGCCACCAAGGAGAGGCCTCTTCTGCCCATTTTTTGACTGGGTTGTTTGCTGCTTTTGTCAAGTTGTGTGGGCTCTTTATACATCTTTGATATCAGTTCCTATCAGCTGTATGAAGTGCAAATTTTTTCTGCCATGCAATAGGGCGCCTCTTCATTTTGGCTGCTGTGTCTTGTGCTGTCCAGAAGCTTTTCAGATTGAGGAGTGAATAGAGAGAATCTTTCTGCCCAATAAAGGGCCAGAAAGACAGAAATTGTTGCAAGCTGAACAAAAGCTGAGGGATCCCACTGGGGAGGGGGAGGAAGAAGGGTCAAAACAGGAGGGAAGAGCACAGGGGACTCTGGGGATGGGTCCCAGGAGCAGTGGCAGTGGGAGGCGGGACTACTCCGCAGGGGAGAAATCAGATGCTGTGCAAACATGAACAAAGATGTAGGAGCCCTGCCAGCCCTGCCAGCACGGAATGGCTTTTCCCTTTCATTTGATCCCATTGTAAAGGTTTTTGCTCGTTATGTTCACTTACAAGACATTTACCTGTGTTTTCAGGCTTTGAAGTTCAAAGATGTTGTCATTTACTTATCACAAATGGAGTGGGAATGTTTGCGCGCTGCTCAGAAGCGCTTGTACCGCGATGTGATGTTGGAGACTTACCACAACCTGATCGCTCTGGGTAAGTGGACCTGCTTGCCCTCCTCCTCCAAAAAAAAAATTCAGAATTGGCTTTCTGGGATTTTTATGTTCCTTGTCATGAATTTCTTGAGAGTGCTTTTCGAAGGCTGGGCTGAATTAATGATTCCTGCTTACTGTAGAGATATCAGAAATGTGTGCTCTGTTGGACAACTTTGTCTTTTTCCGTCATATGACCTTACCTAACCTGTCACCCTAATTGGCTTGCTCCTCTACCTTGGCCATGGGTTGATGTTAGTTCTGGGACACCTACAATATAACTTTCTCCCCCTTTTCTTCTTCCCTTGAGCAGGACTCTCTGATTCTAAGCCAGATGTAATCTCCTTACTGGAACAGGGGAAGGAGCCCTGGATGGTGAAGAGGAAGGAGACGGCAGAATGGTGCCCAGGTAAGAAAGGGTAACTCCAGGAGGCCCTGGCAGGTGGGGATCCAGAGGTGAGAGGGTGAGAGGATTCACCAGAGAAAGAGTGGGGAGCAGATCCACTGACATACACTGCTGAGAGGAGCAGCAGGGAGACAGGAGAGGTCTGCTGCACCGTGTGGGTCACTCCCTGGCTGGGGACTGAACTGGTGCTGCAGTGGCTACACATAGCTTCACAGTGCTGAGACGTAACCCCTTGTGTCACCAGAGACTTCTCCTTCTGGGTCTCTGTGTTTAACAACTTCCCCAGCTGATTCTGATTCTCACAGAAGGTGACCATCCACTTCCTTCTCTTCACCAGTTCCCCTCCTTTTCTCTCTCCCCAGTCTCCATCTCCCCCACACTTCTACCTTTTCAAATTAGAGTGCAAACTATGAAAATTACTTACTGTTTTTCATTTGTCATGTCTAACTTAGAACTTTCCTTTCTGCTCTCATGTCTTATTGTCTCTCTTTGTTATCTCACAGATTGGGAGTCCAGGAGAGAAACTCTGAATGTATCTATAAAGGAAGAAAGTGTTGAAGTTAAGTCACCGCAACAGGAGTTAACAGAAACACTGACAAGCTCTCGCCTCGAGGGCCCAGCAGGCAGAGGTAACAGAGAAGTCAGACAGGAGGCACGGTGCACACAGGGCGGGGCAGCCTCTCAAGAAGGGGCCACCGCCACTGTCCACAGAGCTCCCCTGGCCTTTCACACGAGAGCGAAGTCCTGTGACTGCAAGGACTGTAAGGAAGCTTCTAAGAACCGATCCCACCAGATTCCACGCGGAAGATGCCTTCGTCAGGAAAAAGACTCTAAATGTGGAGAGTGCGGGAAGGCCTTTCCTAGTGGGTCAGACTTGATGAAGCATCAAAGAACTCACGAGAACAAAAAAAGTCACGAAAAGAAGGGTGCCTTAGTTTGTGAGCCTGAACTTCGAAAACGTCAGAGCGTGAACACTGGTGAGAAATCGCATAAATGTAAGGAATGTGGGAAAGGCTTCCATTCCAGTGCACAACTTAGTAAACATCAAAGGATTCACATTGGTGAGAAACCCTATAAATGTAAGGAGTGCGGGAAGGCCTTTCCATCTATCTCACAACTTAACTTACATCAGAGAGTTCACACTGATGAGAAATACTATGAATGTAAGGAGTGTGGGAAAGCCTTTACCCGCCCCTCGCACCTTTTTCGACATCAGAGAATCCATACTGGTGAGAAACCCCACAAATGTAAAGAGTGTGGGAAAGCTTTCCGTTATGACACGCAGCTGAGCCTGCATCAGCTTCTCCACACGGGGGAGAGACGCTATGAATGCAAGGAGTGTGGGAAAGTGTACAGCTGTGCCTCACAGCTGAGTCTCCATCAAAGAATTCACACCGGTGAGAAACCCCATAAATGCAAGGAGTGCGGGAAGGCTTTTATCTCTGATTCCCATCTTCTCCGCCATCAGAGTGTTCACACTGGTGAGAAGCCATATAAATGTAAGGAGTGTGGGAAGGCCTTTCGTCGAGGCTCAGAACTTACTCGACACCTCAGAGTCCACTCAGGCGAGAAGCCCTATCCCTGTAGGGAATGTGACATGGCCTTTACTTGTAGCACAGAGCTCATTCGACATCAAAAAGTTCACACAGGTGACAGGCCCCATAAATGTAAGGAATGTGGGAAGGCTTTTATTCGAAGGTCAGAGCTCACTCATCACGAGAGAAGTCACAGTGGTGAGAAGCCCTACGAGTGTAAGGAGTGTGGGAAAGCCTTTGGTCGTGGCTCAGAACTGAGTCGACACCAGAAAATTCACACTGGTGAGAAGCCCTATGAGTGTAAGGACTGTGGGAAGGCCTTCCTCCGGGGCTCCCACCTTACTCAGCACCAGAGGATCCACGCAGGGCAGAGGGGTGAATGAGCAAATGTGGGGTGACTCAGAATTTAAAATCCATCCTAGTAAGACACAAGTAAAGCCCCTGAGATGGAAAGAATGTGGGAAAGGGTTGGAGAATCACTGTGTCACGAAAGAATTTTTTTGTTACTAGTGAGGAAATTTGTAAGTGTTAGGAGTGGAGAGGGGTTTGTGTGTGCTCTGGAATTTATTAGCTATCAGTTCAGTTGGTGAATAATGGAAAAACTCCATGAATATAAAGAAAAGAAGGTTTAAGAAGCAGTAAATGTAGTAGTGACAATCATTAGCTATTCTGGGAGATGAGAAAATACATGTTATATCTGAGATGCCAATTTACTTGATATTCATCTGGTAACTCACCCTTCAGGAAGGCTCTATTAATGTAAAAAAAAAAATGCAGCAAATTCTTCCTTTTCCATTCAAATCTTAAATATTTGCAAGCTTATCCACTTAGATTAACCAGAGAATAGGGAGAATTAAACCAAGGTCAGGCCCTTCCTTGTCTTCCACTGTAACTAAAGTCTTGGGAAAATTTAATTCTTTAACTGTTCTCATTTACAGTCATAGTATTAGTTCCACTAATTAGTATTTCTTAGTTGCATTGTGAAGGTTAAGTAATTTTATTTCCTAGAGCAGTGTCTGACTCACACTGACAGTATGCTAAATAAGAACATTTTGCTTTCCTAATTGCACATTAGAAATCATCTGAGCGGGAGACTTTATGTGTGCTGTCAAGGTAGGTAATATCTTACATCATCTTTTTCATTATTGAATGTTAGGTAATTCCTTTGGAAGAAAAACTAAAAACTTAATCTTTTATTCATACCTTGCCCTTTTGCCTCATCAGGGGATAGAGAATCTCAAATAAAAGCAGGTTCCTGTGAGGTCAATGGAAAGAGTTAGATGATTTATTTAAACCTTTCATCAAGAGGCCATGATGTCTGATAAATGATGCAGAGCATTAGAAAATACAAAAGCCTTAGCTGAAATTCATTTCTCTGTGAGAAAATTTAAAAGAGAGCTGTGCGAATTTCATGTTAAAAAGGAAAATTACCATCAAGGATGAAGGGCCAAGAGCAAACTGCATGTTGAGGTTTGTAGAGTATGACTGAGCTACAGACACAGAGGTGAGCACCTCTGAATGAGTGCAGAAGACAGCAAGGAAGGGCCATGAAAAGCTAACCTTCGCCAACACATGTGAAGGCCAGGAGTCAGTCTGGCCTCTCTATTTGGTGCTCTGCCCATTCCTGGTCAGTGACCAGCAAATATTTGCTGACTGGGAGAATGAGGATGAATAAGCATTCCACTCAAGCGCCAACAAAGTAAGTGTGGAGCCAGGGGGTAAAAGCCCTGGAAGAGATTGCACCCTACTGCACCCTCAAAAGAGAAACTCCAGCATGACACAAGAGCGGAGATTTAAAGCCAGAGGCGCTACTGTGACAGACACGGCTGGTGTCCTCTCGTGGCCAGGATGGCCTGCGCCCGAGTCTCACACCTGATGCTCGCTCTCCTACCTTGTGTCACATCCGGACAAGAGTGCCAGGTGCTGGGCACAGATCAGAGCTAAATCCACAATTTTCTTTCCTGACAAAATAGAAGGAAATGACCCTAGAAGACAGGATGCAAATCTGTAAGTCTCTTAAGTAACTGGAGCTGTGGATGTTGTGCAGCTAGAAGGGCAAGAGGCTGAGGGTGGCCCCGGGGGACACTGCACCTACCCGAGTCCTTGATACCGCTGAGCTGAGAGAGCCATTCCAGCTGGCGCTTCCGTAGAGTATGACATAGCAACTCCACGTGCACTGTTATTTATACTCCACTTTTCATACTATATCTGAGTCTTGGGGAAAATATTTTCATGTATTTACACACAGGTTGTCTACTTTAGTTAATGGAGACTTTATATTAAGCTTTTACATAGTATAGCTGTAATTGTAGAAAAGCATCTTAAATAGTTTCGTAAGTTTATACATGATGTATACACATACTCAACTTTGATTTAGTAAGATGTAGAATGTTGGTTACCTTCAGCCTTTTTACAGTATTCTGATATCCTGGAAAAGAATTTTCCTGAATGAAGAAAGAACAAAGAAAAAGGGAACTACACTGTCTGTCTAATTCCTCTAGTACCAGAGAGTGGTACAGATAAATCTTCTAACTCTTCAAGATACAGAGTGACAGCTAGCATAACCCTTCTACCAAATTTGGAAAAGGACAGTAGCCAAATCAGGTTAGTTATAAAAAATAATTCCTTATCCTTCTTTGGTGGTTTTCACAATTAAAATAGCTAGTAAAACCTAGCAACTTCTTAAAAGAAGAAAAGTTTTTTTTTTTTTATCTCAATTGTAATCCCCGTGGGTTTCCCATCACCAAGTCACCAGTGTGCCATCACCATAGTCCAGTGCACTTCTCTCCGCCCCCGTTTTTGATCCCATTCCCCACTGAACCCCCACAAAATGTCTCTGGTATATGGCTGTTCATTATCCTTATTATTTTCTCACCTGGTCCCTTATACTCCTGCTATGAGCGAAACCATCCGGTATTTTTCTTTCAAAAGAAGAAAAGTTTTTTAAATCCAGAATAAAATGGTTCATGACTTGATCTGTCCATTTGTTTAGAAGCATAACATAGTGTTGAGATTTCAAAAAGTAGATACAAAAATAACTTACCCACGTGGAGGTAAGCCAGCGTATTCAGACTCTGCTGGGCCGTCTCTGTGCTTGTCCACTTGATCATACCTCATGGTCCAGATGTTTCACAACTGGAACGTTCACATCACCCAGTGGGTTCCATTTCTGCCCATTGCTATAGAAAATACATATTTGAAATAAATTCAGGGTGAACATGGATTATGTGGTACATAAAATCAGTCAACCATTTGGAGAACAACCTAACAAAAATTCTTGTGTTTTGTAAAGGGGAAATGATTACTAAATTTCATCTATGCTTCCATGTATTTCATAACTGTCATTAAATTCTATCTGTTGTTAGAGAAGACCATTAGAAGAATTAAAGAATTGAACCTCCCTGGTGACATAAGGGGTTAAAATGCAGCACTAGGAGGCTATCTGCAGCCATTGCAGCATGAGTTCGATCCCTGGCCAGCGAGGTGACCCACATAGCACCACAGACCAGTAGTGTGTTTCAGTAGATCCACCTGTTCTGCTCCCCACTCTGTCTCTGGTGAAGCCTCTCACCTCCTGCACCTCTGCCCTGTATCCTAGTTCTTGCCTGCATACATAAATAAATCTTTTTTAAAAAGAATCAAAGCCAGGCAGACAGAGACAGCCACAGTACCAGTCTCCTTACCATTTGTGACATATTTTGAATGACAGTGTTAAGAGTGATATTGATTTTGGCTAATGTATACCTATCTCTTTAAGACCCGAAAATTAGATTCCAAATTTATGTTTTATCAAAACCCAGGGGCAAACAGCAACTCACCTTCTATGAAGGTTTAAAAAGAAGAAAACGACCCACATTTATTCTCCAACAGCAAAAGTTTCCCCTGTTTTTCTCCATACACAAGAGTCAGACCTGGGTATGGCAGGTCGCTTTGCTGACCTCGTGGGTGCAGGGAAGTTTAAATGGGGTGATGGTGACATATCGAAGTGCAGCCTCCTTTCCTCACTTGAGGAGGTATCATAGCCAGAATTCTAGTTAGTGCCTCAGACCTGGACGCTTAGCCTTAGACTTGCATAATAAAGGCAGGATTGTTATATAAATAACTGCACAGGCTTGCTGCACATCCTCTGTGGCCTGTTTTGGTATGTCCGTAGAACAGGCGAGTGCCTTACACTGTGTTTACAATGTAGAGTCTCATGTGTTCGTTTCTGAATGGGAACCTCTCTGGAACGTGTGATCAACTGCTTCCACCAAGACAACCTTTTTTCAGCTGAGTGAAGAAAACATCTGCCTTCATCTTGCTTTTCTTAGCTGTCTGCTTAAGCACCTTCCATGTCTTAAGGATCATTGGAATTTTGTAAACTGTTTGTTTTTTATCCCTTTTGTAAAGAGTTGTTTTTGAAGCATTCTGTAGAAACTATTAAAGAGACTATTAAACAGCCTTTGCAGTCTGTTTCCCTAATCTAGCATGCATCTTATACGCTCCCCTTTAAAATTGCTTTCGGGGGCTTCCCTGGTGGCACAGGGCTTAAGCCTCAGCACTGTGAAGCTGTCCACAGCCACTGCAGTGAGTTCAATCCCTGGCCAGAGAGCTGACCCTCATGGCACAGATCTCTTCTGTCTCCCCACTGCTCCCCTCAGCAATGATTTCGGTAGATCTGCTTGTTCTGTTCCCCACTCTGTCTCTGGGGAATCTTCTCATGGCTTGTACCCCAATTCTTGTATGCATAAATAAATAAATCTTTTAAAAGAATAAACACCCTACCTCTTTGGCGCCCAATAAAATCATTCACCATCAAGTCTGGAATAACATCCGGAAGGCTTTCACTGTGGAAACTGCACCCAAGAGGCTCACATTCTAAAGGTGTTAAGAGATACTGGGAGTGAGAATTCCACACTGGGTTAAATAAAATTAGTTTATATTGTTTGCAAACTAACTGTACTTGAAAAGTAGACTTCCCAAAAGTCTCCCCCACCACCACCACCACGAGTTGTCATCAAGGACTAATATTCCCTGAAATAAAGTTGTGGAGAACATCAGGCTGTTTAGTCTTAACCTGTTAACCTGTTAACAAGAGTTCTCCAGCAGACATTGCTTGCTTGGAAAAAGGCAATACCTCACCTATTAGTGAGAGGGATTTTGTAATACATTCTAAATAGATCTTATTTAGAATTATGACGAATGGGACTTTCATAAATGAAGCTGGTCTAGATCTTGCTTTTTAGAAACTATTTCAATCTAGTCGTGTATTATGCAGAATTGGTAAGACCTTGTTAAGGGACCTCAAGATTTTTACCTGTTGGAGACCAGCTCCAACTATCGAGGTGTCTTCTCTAAAGTGGGAAAGCATCTGCAAGTGGAGATTCCTAAAAAAGGAGAAAAAGGGGAAAGGGGAGTGAAGAAGACATGGGAATCGGAGTTGGTGCAAGCCTTCCTGCCCATCTTTTTCAGGTCTTTATTTATACTGTTTAGCAAGATTTAGTTGCAATAATGCATCAAGTAAGTTAATAAGAAATCAGCATAAAAGTTTTAAAGGAAGAGGGGAACAATGCATCCTCTTCCTGCTACTTTATGGCACACTATACTATACATCTTTGTGATAGCTTTCATATATTCGGATGTTTAACTATGACTTCAAAGGACCAGGGTCTGGGAAAGGATGAGCTATTAGCAAAGGATTTAGGAGTCCTAGGGAAGGAATAAATTGTGTTAGCAGAGTCATCAATGATAGTCTAAAGAAAAGCTAATGGCTAACTTAAGGTTAGCAGAGAGTAGCTAGTGTTTTTTTTAGGAAAAAGTTAATTAAGACCAGCAGAGAGTAGTTAGTGATTGTTTTAGGAAAAGAGTAAATTAAGAGGAAGTCACATAGTTATGCATGAAGCAAAACCTGTGTTGATGTTAGGAAATTGTCCTTGGGTCCTTATGCTCTGGGAGTTATCTAAGATTCGCTTTTTGTTTTAAAAGGAAGCTTTCCAGGAGTCTTGATGCTCCAGGGTCTTCTCTCTTCAAGAGCTTGCCTTTTGTCTTCAAAGGAATTTCCTGCCCTGGAGCAGCTCAGCTTGTACTTTGCCCAGGCCAGGTAGCCAATTTAGAGCTAAGGCAATCCAGTTACAAACTGATGTTACTACAATATTGTTGATATTATGATTATACAAAAAAGGGAGGTCATAAGTCAGCAGTGGAAATTCTGATTTTTCAGAGCTTTTCCCGATCTACCTGGAATCTGTCAGTTGATAGACATTGCATAGCTTGTGTCATTTACCTACCTAGCTATCAGACTGGTTTTTTCCCTTCCCATTAAAGGGAATTCATACACATTCTCTTCTTTGATCTGGGTGCTATAGCTGTCAGCTATGACAAAATGATCTTACAGAAGAGATGTAATCCTCTCTAGTTTTTTATGTATTGGAAAATATATACCTTACCTTATAATTAAAATTCCCTTGATAAATTGTAGTTATGTCACCTTTATCATCATCAAACTCTCAATGTATTATTTCATGTTTTCCCTTCCTGGGTTAGGCCTGCAAAAATCTACTGACTAGATTGTCTAACCTCTATTTTAACTGTACTTTTGCTTTACTCCGCAGTGTTTTACTATCCTTTTTTTCGACATAAATGCTTGTTTATTCCTTTATTTACATGACAGACCCTGCACTGACCACTGAGGAGGGGAGAAATGAAGGCTGGGCAACGTGCAAAGTTTCCATAATGCATTAAAGGACATAAATTTCTGATTACATAGAACTCTGGTGACATCTGACAAGAAACAGATGTCTCGTGAACAATTGGATCAAAGAAGTCTATAACTTCAGTTTTAATTTTAAACATTTTATTACTGAAGATTTCAGAAAACATACAAAAGTAGAAATATTAAAACAGTGAACCTGTGTGGAGACTTCAATAATTATCAACACTTTATCAAGCTAGTTTCCAGCTCCCACTGCCAATTCTTTTTTTTTGCTCAAGTGGCTTAATGCAAATCTGGATATCTTATCACTTCATAAATATGTACGTGTGTCTCAAACACATCAATCTTTTAATAAACACAGGGATATCATCATTCCTAACATATTACCATTCCTAGATTAATATTTCTACTACTAAGTCCATGTCCACTTGTCTTGCATGACTCCAAAATATCTTTTTACATTTTATTCAAACTAGGTCTAAGCAGTTGATTTGTTCATTGGTCCATGTTGATATTTAGTTGCTCTATCTCATCTTGCTCTCCTTTCGTTTTTCATGCCACTCATAAGCTGAAGAAATCAGACTCTTTTGGGTAGAATTTTACACATCCTGGAATGGTGTTGCCATTGACCTTATTTATCTATTCTCCACAGTCATAGCTTCAAAGAATCTGCTTAGAGAGTTGATTCCATTGGGTCATGATTTTGACAATAGCTTCGAGGTGATGATTATGTCCCTTCCTCTTGCATTTGACCAGGTGTGTATTGTACAACATTCTCACAGTCTCAGAGGATCAAAGGACTGAGATGATAAGCTTGGTGAAATCATTACAGTCACCACTAGAAAATCTTTCCCCTAATAGCTTCAAAATCTTTTGAAGATCACTTTCTGAACCATTGCTTTATTAGGGATTAGAAACTGGGTTTTTAGGGTCCCTCCTTAGTGGCTTTACACAGCACTACAAAGCTAGCTGAAGCTGCTTCAGCATGAGTTTGATCCCTGCCAGGGGAGTGACCCATATGGCACTGTCTTGCTCACTGCCTCCCTCTCATCTGTGTCTCTTATCAGTCTGCCTGTTCTGCTCCCTGCACTGTCTCTGGTGAATCCTCTCTGCCCCTGCACCTCTGGCCTATGTCCCGGTTCTGTATGGATAAATAAATAAATCTTAAAAAAAAAAAAAAAAGAAAAAGAAAACAAGTTTTTAAATTCTGCCAGTCTGGATTTCACAAATAAATAAAAAATAACAAAACACTTTAACTTGATTTTTTTGGTGGCCTAAACACCCAGTTCACCTAGGAAAAACAAAACAAATGCTTATTTTTCCCTTTAATTTTTAGAGCAATGAGCAGATGTCTGCTATCTCCACAGCTGACCAATGGTGCCATGACCAAGCAGACTATGACCGCTAGTGCAGTCCCATCAAAAGGCCCGACACCCCCTAGTTGAAGACGAGTCTGCCCATCAGTATGCATGTTGGCAATCCCAGAAAGATGTTTTCTTTCTTTTACATAACAGTTTTTTTACACACACATACAACATGCATACCTACAATATTGCCTTTCCAGATGGCTACTTTTCTTCTTGCTATATTTTTGAGAAGTTTCTAAGTAATCTTGAACTGTGGTCAGAAAACAGGGATTATAAAACATTTGCTTTTTGGAATTTTTATTATGGCAAGACCATTTCCCGTTAGATTGAACAGTTAAACCCAGTCTCAAATTCATGCAATTTATAAGTTTCCTTGTCAGCGTGAAGTTGCTGCAGCTCAGATGATAAGGAACTTCTCACATTGAATATAACCTCCTAAATTTGATCCAGAATGAATGAGTTTAAATTTTATAATGTTGAACAGTGAAAGACAGGAAGCAATCTATATATATCACTTCTACAGGGTGTTCCTTTCATATGAACTCACTAATGCTAATAACGACTATTATATGCAATATTTACAGAAAACATGCAATATGGTGGTATTTTCCCAAGGTATTAATTACTTAACCCCTACAAACTCCTATTATGTAGTGTGGCAGGCTGCCTTCAAATGGGCCTCTGATGTCTCCTGAATTTCACAATCTTGTGCAACCCTCTTCCCCCAATGTGGGGCTGTCTAGTACCTTCCTTCTAACCAGTAGACGATGCAAAGATGATGGGATGCTATTTCAGTGCTTAAATTACACAAGGCTATGACTTTCAGGATGCTAGCAGACACTGCTGTCTTCTTGGCTTGAGCGCTTGGATAAAATGAGCAGCCAGGCTCAAGAGGCCCACTTGGCAAGGTACTGAGTTCACCTGTCACCCAGCAGTGAGCTTGAAACTGAGGATCTCATTGCGACAGCCACCCCCCCCGTGAAAACAAATTCAACCAACCACCACATGAGGTTAAAAGGGGATAGCCCCTCCAGCCCCACCTTCAGATGAGACCCAGCCCTGGCTGATTTTAGCTTTATGAGAGAATTTGCAGCAGAGAACCCAGCTCAGTCACCCCCAAACTCCTGACTTACATAAATTGTATTTTAATAAATGTGGACATTTATTACACCACAATAAGTAATATCTACAGGTACTGTTATCACCATGTTATAAGTGAGCAAATGAGGTAAAGAAGTTTGGTTACCTGGTCCAATTACACACTGGGAATAAAGTGGGAAAACGGGGATAGTGATAAGGTTACAGATTCTCCTACATTCGTTACATTATTCTCTCATATAATTTGTCAAAGCTAGCAGTGTTTGAATGTTGATGCATGATTTTAAAGCAACATTTTTTCCTACAATATAAAATTCCCTACTCTTGTTTGTGAACATGAAATCCATTTCTTCAAAAATGAATGTGGTGATGTTCTAGTATATAATGTCTGGTTGAAGGCTTTCCAGTATTAAATTCCATTGTGAATTTTCTGATGTTGAGTAAGGTGGGAATGCTGTCTAAAGGCCTTCTTACATTCCTTACATTTGTAGGGTTTCTCACCGGTATGAATTCGCTGGTGTTGAGTAAGAAATGAATAAAGTCGAAAAGCCTTACCACACTCCTTACATTCATAAGGTTTCTCACCAGTATGAATGCTCTGGTGTTGAGTCAGCTGTGAGAGCAGTCTAAAAGGTTTCCTACATTCCTTGCATTCATAAGGTTTCTCACCAGTGTGAATACTTTGATGCTGAGTAAGTTGGGAGAGCAGCCGAAAGGCCTTCCCACACTCCTCGCATTCGTAAGGTCTCTCCCCAATATGAATGCTCTGATGTGAAATAAGCTGTGAGTAACTACTAAAGGTTTTCCAACACTCCATGCATTCATAAGGCTTCTCACGGGTATGAATTCTCTGATGGCGAACAAGCTGTTGCCTTAATCGAAAAGTCTTCCCACACTCCTTACATTCGTAGGGTTTCTCGCCAGTATGAATACTCTGATGGACAGTGAGTTGTTGGCATATTCTAAAAGTCTTCCCACACTCCTTACATACGTAGGGTTTCTCGCCAAAGTGAATCTTCTGATGTACTCTGAGGTCTGGACCGCACACAAAGGCTTTCCCACATTCCTTACATTCGTAGAGCTTCTCGGCAGTGTGAAGTCTCTGATGTCGAGTGAGGTGTGTACACTGCCGAAAAGTCTTCCCACAGTCCTTACATTCATAGGGCTTCTCACCCGTGTGAATTCTCTGATGTCGAGCAAGCTGCTGATGTACTCTAAAGGCCTTTCCACACTCCTTACATTCGTAAGGCTTTTCACCAGTGTGAAGTCTCTGGTGTTGGGTGAGTTCCTGGAGCACTGTAAAGGCCTTCCCACAATCCTTGCATTCATAGGGCTTTTCACCAGTGTGAAGTTTGTGATGACGAATGAGGTGGGCACGCTGTCGAAAGGCCTGCCCACATTCCTTACATTTATAAGGCTTCTCCCCGGTGTGGATTCTCAGGTGTTGACTGAGTGTTGAACGGCGGATAAAGGTCTTTCTACATTCCTTACATTCATATAACTTTTCTCCATTATGAACTATTTGATATTCAGCAAGAAAATTATGCTTTTTGTAAGTGGTCATTTTTTCAGAGGTCATTTTCACTGGCCCAAAATAGTCCTCTTGTGGCTCCTTTTGCCCCTCAATGTTGCTTTTGCATTCCCATTCGTTTCTAAAAACGGAGTCCTGAAGGCCATAACTGTTATTTCTTTCCACTATCTCCCATTGGAATGCATATATTTCATAAATGTCCTTTTCTGGAGATAACGTATTGTTCCTGTTTCTGGATTCCAAACCTGAAAAAAACAAAAAGCAAGCAAATACATGCTAGTTCCCTGTTGCAGAAGGAAGAAAACTTCTACAGAGAAATAAGAAGTACCTAAAATAATGTCTATTAAAAGTGAAGCCCCGGTGGCGCAGCGGGTTAAAGCACAGCACTAAGAAGCTTAGGCCACTTCCGCATGAGTTCGATTCCCGCCTGCCCCGGAGGAGATCCGGCCCGGCAGACCTCTCCTGCTGCTCCCCTCAGCAGTGTACTTTGTAGATCTGCCTGCTCTGCTCCCTGCTCTGTCTCTGGTGAACCCTCTCATCCTCCGCATATCTGGCCTGTACCCCAGTTCTGTATGAATGAATAAAACCTTAAAAAAAAAAGGTGAAGGGAGCATACATCTATAAAACACAGGTATTTCAGTTATAGTAACATATAGGTGTGCCCAAAAAACCTTATCTTCTGCAAAATTGTACACCCAAAACTTGCATAACTTATATGGAAAAGCAGGCTGGAGCAGACTAGGCAAAACTCCACAACTATAACAGCAGAGCATTTACAAGTAATTCCTGTCTCAGGAGCTAACCCAAACAGTGGCTCATAATGGCTGAAGGCCACTTCAGTGGATACGAAGATGCACAAAAATGAGTGGAAAGGCTGGATTTAGGTGCTGAACTTGATTATGAAAATAAGCTCTGGGCCAGCAAGGCGAAAGTTAAACTGAGAATAGGTAAGTGTCACCTGACATTAGGCGAAAGTCAGGCAAAGTTGACAATGTAGATCTCTGACACTTATTAATCTGCTTTATTCAGAAGTGAAAGGTGCCTAACAACGGAGCTTTAAATGGAAGGTGTCGGCCAGTCCTGCTGCATGTTATAAATTTTCTACTATTCTGGTTCCATTCAACCAGGAAGACTATTTACAATCCAACTAATTTCCATGTTACATTATTATCATTCCCTATTCCTATTACCATAAAGTGAGATTATATTATGGATTATTATAACTACATTGTGGAATAGATTCTATTCTCATGTCTGGGGAGAAAAGCAAAAGAAGCAGAAAGTCCAAGGAGGGAGGTGAAGTTGATGATCAGGTCAAGTAGTGAAGGCTGATTAAGTGTGGACAAGAATTACCCAAAGATTTGTTACAATGCCCGTATAGAGGGTTTTTTTTTAAAGATTTATTTAATTTATTATGTATACAAGAACTGGGGTGTAGGCCAGAGGTGCAAAGGCAGTGAGAGGATTCACCAGAGACAGAGTGGGGAGCACAGCAGACAGGTCTACTGAAGTACACTGCCGAGGGGAGCGGCAGGGAGACAGCAGAGGTCTGCTGCACCCTGTGGGTCAGCTCCCTGGCCAGGGATTGAACTCAGGCTGCAGTGGCTGTGGATAGCTTTATAGGGCTGTGCTTTAACCCGCTGCACTACCAGGGAGGGTCCTCTTTCATTTTTAATAGTATTCACCAGTGACATCTGGACCTGACATGTTCTTTACGGAAAGATTTGTGGTGACAAATTCAATTACTTTAATAGATATAAGGTTATGCATAAGTATCTTTTTATCTTGTATCTGTTCTGATAATATCTTGTCATTTTTAAGGAATTTTTCCATTTCACTTAGTGTTCCAAATTCACTGGCATAAAGTCAGTTAGGGTATTGTCTTATTACTCTTTTTTTTTTTTAAAGATTTATTTATTTGTGCATACAGAACCAGGGTATAGGCCAGAGGCTCAGGGGCGGTGAGAGGCTTCACCAGAGACAGAGTGGGGAACAGAACAGGCAGATCGATGAAGTACACTGCTGAGGGGAGCAGCAGGCGGGTCAGGAGAGGTCTGCCACACCATGTGGTCACCTCCGGGGCAGGCGGGAATCGAACTCATGCGGAAGCGGCTTTAGCTTCTCAGTGCTGTGCTTTAACCCGCTGCGCCACCAGGGAGGGCCTCTTATTACTCTTTTAATGGCCTTAAAATGTGAAGTGAGAACCTCTCTTCCATTCCTGATATCAGAACTTTACGTGGCCTCTCCTTTCTTCTTGATTCATCATCTAGGTATGTGTCAGCTTTCTTGATCTTTTCCAGAAATCATCTTTGGCTTTACGACTTTTTCTCTCTTTCGTATCTTGTATTTAGTTGGTTTCAGCCTTTTTATTTATTAGATCTTCCCTTTGTACTGAGAAGAGCTCTCCTCTCTTGATGTGAGAGAGACACATGGGAACAGGAAACTGGGAGTTGTCATCATAATCAAGAGGAAGACTCTTTTGGTAGTGCAAGCTTTAAAGATTTTAATTTGCTTCCAGGTCTCAGCTCTGGGTCTCTGACCAGAGGTCCCTAGCAGAATCTTAAAGGTATACCTCTACCCTCACAGGCAGGGCCATAGACTGAGGGAAGGATGACTCTGGCCTGCTCAGGCCTCACTCACCAGGGCAGTGTCCTCTCGTCCCTTCCTGCACAATCATCCAGGGATCCTTCCCTTCATCCAACAAGGTAATCACTTCCGGTTTAGAAATGGAAGGTCCTGCTTCACAGATAATGTCAGAAGAAATCATAAGCCCCAAAGTTCTTGGATTCAGCTTTGGTTAAATTTGTAAATAATTATAGATCAAAATGCAAGGGACTTAAAGGACAGTCATGACAGGGTAACCTCAGGACCATGGGACCACCAGATAATTCAGAACAAGCCTTAAATAAACTTACACAAGTTCTGCCGGGAGGCAGTCTTACATAGTAGTTTAGAACACAGAATCTGGGCCTTCCCGGATGGTGCCACAGGTTAAAACGCAGCATTATGAAGCTAGCCCCAGCTGCTTCAGTACAAGTTTGATCCCCAGCCAGGGAGGCGGCCCACATTCACAAGCTGGGATCATTTCTTCTGGAGAAGAACAAAAACAGCTAGCAACTCAAGGACTCGGCCCTGAAGCCGCCGCAGAGGACGCCCACGTCGCTGGGGCTACACGGCCTTACCGAGCGAGATGAAGTGGCTGTAGTTCTCCCACATCACATCCCGGTACAAGTCCCTCTGTGCCGAGTCCAGGCAGTCCCACTCCTCCTGCGAGAAGTCTATGGTCACGTCCCTGAACGTCACTGAACCCTGGAGAAGAAGAAGCCACATATTACTCGTGTTCATAAATGACATTTTTTTTAAATGGAAAGAGAGGTGACTGAGGACATGCTGCGCAGAGGAGGCCACAGGCTAGCAGAGGTGGCGCCTGTATGTGTAGAAGACAGGAAGAAGAGTAGCGTCAGTGAGGCAGAGAGCCTGCAAGTCTGAGACAGTTCAGCGGCTGCATTTAGGGTGAAATTATACCCAAACATCTGGAAATGTATAAAGTCAGCAAATAAATGTTCACCAGAGAAAGAGTGGGGAGCAGAACAAGCAGACCCACTGAAATTCGCTGCTGAGGGGAGCAGCAGGTGAGTCAGGAGAGGTCTGCTGCGCCATGTGGGTCAGCTCCCTGCGTGGGGATCAAACTGGTGCTGCAGCAGTAAGAGGGCTGAGACTTAAACCTTAGGCCACCAGGGAGACCCCAAATATATATATATATACATTTTTTCCCATGTGTATTTTTTTAATGTGAAATTGTGTGTGGGAGATAGATAATTTTCCTACAGAAAACTGGACAATGCAAATCTGTGAAATGCACTCAATGCATTCTGTGAAATCTGCTTCCTCTGATGGTTAAGCACTGACATCAACAGCTGTTCTGCTGGACAATGTTACCCACGACACTCTACAGACAGTGCCTGTATTTTTCTCCAGGCATTCATTTCACACTTTTGCTGCTTTGCAGCACTTAGAGCACATGTGGGAGCAGAGGATACACGGAGAAAACTCCGTGATCTGCCCCAGCCCTGGAAGGAAGGAGCGACTGGCAACAGGTTCCTGGGTGGAGCTCAGCCGGACAGGAAACTCCAGGACCAGACATGAAGATGTCCAACAACCCCGACACTGACAACCCTTCAAAAAGGAGACCGAAGCAGACTCACATGAGCCATGGTTTCAGACTGCAAGAACAGCTCCGCCCTCTTTGAGATGTCTCCGTGGGAGAAGTGCAGGGCCCGGAGAAGCCAGATCTGGAAGAAGAAAAAGTCGTGAAACCAGACATGCCTTACAGCTCCCCAAGTAGTGCCCACGAGCTTTTCTTCTCTCCCACTCCTGCACCCTAACTATTCCCAGCACACCGTCATACCCACACTGTCACAACCCACAGAAGCAGAGAGGCATGGAAGCGTGTAGAAATTCAAGCCCTGATGCAGCCAAGCAGAATCATGATGGGCTTCCCACCAAGCACGAGACCGCGGCAGGACACCTATGCCCTGCCCATGTGGAAATGTAGGTCTGGACCCAATACTGACTGGTATGAGTTGCCCTAAGCAGCTCCTTCTCCCTCCAGCACAACTTTTCAGGGCTGCAGAGGGGCACACCATTCAACAGAGCCTCCTTTGGGGCCCGGATCCTGTCTGAACTTTCTGTGTTTTAAAGATTTACTTATTCACCAGAAACAGAGTGGGAAGCACAAGAGGCAGATTGATGAAATACACTGCTGAGGGAAGCAATGGGGAGACAAGAGAGGTCTGCTTCACAGTGCTGCGACTCAATCCCTTGTGCAATGATGTTGGCCCTAGAAAGAGCCTTTGAAGATAAACAAATCTCACTAAGGAGATGTGTGTGAAATTCTCCAAAAAATATCTTTCACAATGACTGGATTGGGGGATTTAACACATTGGCAAGATTACTAGGAAAAGGACAGTAAGTTAGTCCAAATTTA